ATATAATAAAACAGTGACGGAGAACCAAGGAAAGGCCAGAGCAACAAGGACGGGTTAATTTACCTTCATTTAACAAATCCTTATACTTCAGGACTGCTACAGAATAATTTTACAGCCCCCAAACACTAGATTAAGAGGCGTTGGTATCTGGGACTGTGAGAACAAATGAGATCATCAAAGATAGAAAAAAATGAACAAAATACAAATTTGAATCTCACGGAACCTTAGGAGCTGCAAGATTTTTGAGAGTGTCCTATATTAGAAACAGAGAATTGGAAGAAGATTAGTTTAATGGATTTTGTAGGTTCCCAGGAAGACGGATGATTTGAGAAGAATTATAGATAATCAAGCATTTCCCAGAGCACTTAGAATGTCTATTGTTTAGTTAAGGAACAAGAGCTCAGATGATTTGCATGAATATCTGGACATAAAGCTCAGCCAGTCAACTTAACTCTATAAATCTAAGACACCCAATGTACTATCCTGTACCTTGAATATTGTACACAAGACTTTCTACTCAGAGGTATTTTAGCAGTGTGATGTGGTCTCTAACACAATGCAGATAATCAGCAATTGCAGTTATTTTCACAAACATTCAAAAAAAAATGACTAGCTTTTCTGATCAGTCAAATCACATATTTGACTGATCAGATGCTGTTGTTTTCATTGACCGTAAGGGTTACTTTTATTTAAAATTTTATCAAGTAAATGAGATCTTATGAGTGTCAGAATATTGATAAGTAGCCTGGTAAGTATCCTTGCTACTTGACCATCAGATCTCCAATACACACACACACACACACTCACATGCATACATGCACACCGATACACATAAACACATGTGCACACAAGTATAAACTCACAAATCGCACAATACACCTATTCACACAAATATCCCTACACACACAGACATAGGCCAAAGTTGCTTCCTCTTATTCCATAATTATTTATCCAGATATAAGGTGCTAAACGAAGCCTTAATTTTTAATTTTTAATTTTTAGTTTTCAATGGAATAATTGGCTCCTTGTCCTTACCAGAACTGGAAGCTCCCTTCTCTGAAAGAGCCTCTGCTTTGTCCTTGGCCTTATCTAGATCAGCCTCTCCTGTTTGTTCTGGAGTACAGGCCACTAGGAACACAGGGAGGTCCTAGGGGAACTGGCCAGTGCACTTATGAAGAACATAGTGGGTTGCAGGTTATCTCCTTGGTTTCCAGGTCTCAGGAGAAACTAAGGACAGGTTAACAACTGGATGGTTACATATATGAAAGGTAAGCAGTGGGAATTAAAATGGCATTCACATAGCTCCATTGTCACCTAATATTTATCCTTTCTTGTTCTCCTTTCTTTATGTCATAGTGCACCTACATGTGCATTTGCTTAATGTATACAACCTATCTCTTTCTCTCTCAGTCCACACGCACACATACACACACTATAGAGCAAGATCCATATATGAGGGAAAATATGGGGTTTTCTTCTTTCTGAGACTGTGTGACCTCACTTAATATAGATCCTAAGTTCATAGTTTTCCTATAAATTATGCGGCTTCATCTTTCTTCAGAGTTGAGTAATATTCCATTTTACATATGTGCCACATATTCTTTTTATTTATTTTTTTAATGTGAAAGCGTTGGCTGAACCATACCCTCATCCACGTTTTGGTGATTTTTCTTGTAAATTCCAAAGTAACTGCTGCATAGTCATGATACATACTGATTTCCTGATATCTTGAAATACTATAAAATGACAACTATTTTAAATAAATTTGGTTTATAACCTGTTTTGAGGCATGTTGGTATTACCGATGAGATGCATCGTTTATCATTTTTTTTCACTTTAGAAATGGTTTTACTTATGTACAAATTAATAGGCAACATTCTTTCCAGTCTGTTTTCCAAAAACAAAGAGGTTTTTGTTTGGCTGGGTTTTTTTTTTTTTTTTAAGAAAATCAAAAATGCTTGGTGTGATGGCACACACCTTTATTCCCAGCATACAGGAGGCAGAGGCAGGTAGATCTCTGTGAGTTCCAGGACAGCTAAAGCTGCACAAAAGAGAGACCCTGTCTCAAAAAATAAAAAAAGGAAAAAAAAAAGAAAAAAAGAAAACCACAAAATAAATTTTAAAAGGCACCAAGATTCTTCTGCTTCTAGACCATTGCTGGGCTGGAGAGAACTGGGGGTGGAGGGAGCAGAAGTCCCAACTTGGAGTTGAGCGGTCTCCAAAGCAGTAACAAGGTACCATTCAGAAAGTTTATTAAGCCCCGCCCCACCCCACCCCCACAAGCTGCCAACTACATGGCTGAAGCAGGGCAGACAGCCCAGCATAACTCAGCAGCAGGGTGGCACTGTATGAGGCCATTATGCAACTCTAAGGAGAGACTAAACAGACTAAAGCAAAACAAGAGACTGGGGTTGTCATGAGAACGATTAGTTCCTTGCTGTGAGATCTGCGTCAATAACCCTAATAAACAGACTATCCTAATGCAAGGAAAATATTACTTTATTACAAATTTCACACTAACATGATAGTCAGTGCAGAAATGCTGCCTGGTGTCATTAAGCAACAATTCAACCATGTTATGCCCAGGGTTCACACCTTCATCTACACACAAACTTTCATGTTTCTGTAAACATAACACAGTGAAGCAGAACATTCAGTTGAGACCTAACACCCGCAATGGATGCTTTTACAGGCTGCACTGTAGAGAGATCAGCGAGTCACCTTTGCCTGGGGGACATTATGTAACCAATCAATAACTTAGGGACCAACAGTCTCCACTGGTTTCCAGTGTGCACAGGGCTGGCTGCAGGCGGCATCATTAGGAAGTGCCCTCCATGTCCACATCCTCCTATAACTGCTGTACCATTTTTTCCTCCAGCTGCTCTCCTCTGCCTGCAAGAGGATCCCGGATAAGATGGATGTTCTGTTTGACTTCTTTGATATCCTGAACCTTCTGTAGCTCTTTGTTTTTCTTCAACCTGTTCATTATAAACTGAGCCTGCCGTTTCTGTTTGATCTCTTCAACCCTCTTCATTGCATCAATAGTTTTATTCCACAGCTCTCGCTGGTACTTCACAGGTTCATTTCTACGTTTTTTTCAAATTCAAATGAGTTGTCCACCGTGAGCTCCTTGCCGGCTGCCTTCCAGAAGGCTTTAGTCCACCTGACCTTGCGTGGATTCCGCTTCTTCTTGAAGTTTCTATGACACTTGGATTTGCAAAATCGGAACACCTTGCAGTCATTGCGGACGAACATCATGCCGTGGCCTGGGTAGATCGGCCCGGAACAGAAATAACATTTCTAGATCCTCATGTTGACTCCACGTGGGCCCCACCTCCCAGGCGCCGAACTTAAAAGGAAGTCTCGTTTATCATCTTTAATCTCTTGTCTTTGGTTGTTTTGCCCTTTCATTCTCTCTCCCTCTCCTCCCTCCTTCCCTTCCTCCCTCCCTCCCTCTGGACAGGGTCTCACTCCACACCCAGGTTGGCCTTGTGCTCATGACCTCCCTGCTTTGGTTGCTGAGTGTAGGGATTATACGTGTGTGCCAGCTTCAGCTGCCTCTTTTATGCTCCTTCATGTTTCATATTTTTTATTTTTTTATTGATTTTATTGAGCTACATATTTTTCTCTTCTCCCCACCCTTCCTTTCTCCTCCTCTTCAACCCTCTCCCATGGTCCCCATACTCCCAATTTACTCAGATCTTGTCTTTTTATACTTCCCATGTAGATTAGGTCCATATAGGTTTCTCTTAGGGTCCTCATTGTTGTCTAGGTTCTCTGGGATTGTGATTTGTAGGATAAAGAAAAAGGACTACATTATTGGTAAGAGTTAAAAAATATGTAAAGAATATGGCATTTAAAAAATACCTGGAATTTTCATTAACTGATCCAAAATTCCTGTTATAAACTAAAAGGTTTTGTGGGTTTTTAATATTTTGTATTTCAAGTTACATATAGTCAAGTGCACCTAATGAGCTAGAAATAGTTTTCAAATAATCAAAAGTATTCATATTTTAGTAGCAAAAGATCATGTGTGTGTGTGTGTGTGTGTGTGAGATATACATATACATGGTTCCATATTTGAACAAGATAAAAAGCTAACTAAAGATGATTGGGTCTCTCAAATAATTTTGTTTCCCATTCTATTTTTATTTATGATTATTCCCTGCTATATGAAGTCAAAATATAACTAAGATAATTCAATACTTTGAAAAATTGTATATAAATTAGAAGAAAATAATTGTCAACAAATTTTAATGTTTTGCTATTTAAGCTAAACTTGCAAATATTTTTTGTTCTAAAGATCAATTTTGACAAAGTTATTTTCTAATGATTAAATATTCCTGGTTTTATACCCCAAAGCAGTTTGCAGGAATTATTACTGTTGGATATCTGAACATGACTGACACTCCTGGCTTACCTGGAGCAAAACCTTTTGTGCCTCTTCCTAGGCTACAATTCTCAATTGTTACTTAGTGGCTCCAAATATTCTCTAGTTACATCACAATACTTAGTTTCAACTTTTAATTGTGTTTTGTCTTAAAGAATTAGACAGGCCATATTTACTACTGTATCTCCAATGATTGGCTAAAATCATAATCAGATTGAGAAAGAAACACATATGCAGAAAAGATCTAATTCTTCACAAATTGTGGTGGGGATTAAACTGACAGTCTTTTGGGTGATGGATCTACCACCGACTATATTCTCAGACCTTAGTTTTCTAAGGCTTCACTACAGTGTATGCTCAGGATGACCTTGATTTCACCGTGTAGCTCAGGTCAGCCTCTCACTGTTATATCCTAATTTCTGAGTCTCTAATTCTACATCCTTATAGTAGGGATAGCAGGCCTGAACCACCACACTCATATTAGAAAATCCATACTGGTACAACTGAGAGACAAATTGATTAATCTTAAACTCAATGAATTTGCTCCTAAAAATAATTTACGTTCTATTATACTATAGAGAAATAATATTGCCATAAAATAATCAAAAAAGAATGTTTATGCCTCTCTTAATATTTTATCTGAGTTCAGAAATTCAAATCCTTATCAAGTAGACTATTTTTTCACTAAAAGAGTAAATAGACTTAAAAAATATTTTCCTCTTAGTCTTTTCATAGATTCCATACATTTCCTATCAAGCTTACAATATTAATTCTTTTAGAATTTCCCAAGGAATTCTAAAATTGAATTTATGAAAGTATATCAGTGAATAAACAATAATAACAAATAGATGCTGGGTTTATATGATGACATTTATTTATTTATTATTATTATTAATTTATTTATTTTTAAATGATATTTTCTAATTTTACATGCCTATCCCAGTTCCACTCCCTCCTTTCCTCCTACTCCTCCCACCTTCCCCACCCTGCTCCACCCCCATCCACTCCTCAGAGAGAATAAGGCTTTCTGTGGGGAGTCAACAAAGTCTAGCACATCACTTTGAGGCAAGACCAATGCCCTCCCCTCTACATTTAGGCCAAGCAAGGTATCCCTCCAAAGACAATGGGCTCCAAAGCCAGTTCAAGCACTAAGAATAAATCCTGGTCTCACTGCCCCACAGTCTGCTCCAACCACACATCTGTCATCCACATTCAGAGGGCCTGGTTTGGTCCTATGCAAGTTTGCCCACTGTCAGTCCAGCTAAAATTTCTGTTTCCTTAATAAATCAATGAAAAAAACAAGCAGAAAACTTCAGACATTATTAAATACTATAAAGTTTAACATACTGAGAAATATCACAACATGATACAAAATAGACTGACTAGTCAAATAACACTGGAAAGACAATGACAATCTAAGGCTAGTAAGTGTAGGTTTGATATTTCCTCACAAGGACACAAAATATCTTGAGATAACTATATTTTATTTAGAATATGAACATAAACTGAGCTGGGTAGTGGTGGCACATGTCTTTAATCCCAGCACTTGGGAGGCAGAGGCAGGTGGATCTCTGTGAGTTCAAGGCCAACCTGGTCTATAAGAGCAGTTCCAGGATTCAGTGTGAGCATCTGAAAGAGGAGGAGTTTATCATTACTCCTGTTCTACAGTAAGAAGTTACAGCTTTAAAAATTGATCTAAAAAACTTTTCAAATACCTATATTTCTAAAGTATTTAGTCTTTGAATCTAAGCCCAGAATTCATAAATACAAAGTATGCAACTTAACACACTATATTGGACTTTCAATAATTATGTCTCCTTCTAAAATTAAGATTTCAATTTCTAAGAGTCTAAGAATATAATGGGTGATAATATCAGATTCATGTTTGTGAGAAGTTATTTAGAAAATTACTGAAGTATTGAAAGAAGCAACTAGTAACATAAATTATGGTTATATATTTGCCACAAAGTATTAAATAGTGATGTTCACTAAATTAAATGTTAGGGATTACCTAAAGATAAAGTCTTGATATCAAAGTTCTCACAGCCTTGTGGAAAGAGCATTAAATTAATAATTACATTTACTGATGGAATGTGGAAACTGTAAGTACACATAAATGAGTAACAAATGACTTATTCTGATGGAACAAGAACCTGCTGAAATAGCTAACGCGCTTGAATGTGTTGTTTAAAGGGAACTAATACAAATAATTTTAGCCATGAGTAATGGGACTATTGCTTGGCAGTGGTTATCTGAAAAGATAGATATGGTGAGCTAAGCAAATCAGAGTCCCTCTCCACCAGTGTTTCTGCAGCGCTGTGAAGGACTCCAGAAAACTCAGACACCAGAGTTTAGGACTGGTGCTCTTTACTTTCCAAGGAATCAGGTGGCTCAGGTCAGACTATCTGTTGTTTTCCTGTATTCAGATGTGGATTATTCTAGGTGGAAATAAAGGTTCCTAATTCCATAAGTGGAAGAAGATTTTAGAAAATTCCAATGTCCTCCCAACAGCACACCAAAGGCTATTTTGTTACAAAACAAATATCCTTAATTACAGTGATCTCAAGATGCCAGAATTAATCAAGACTGCAGTCACTGTGTAACACTGCCATGTCTAGAGCAGTGGGGGACAGAAATAGTCAGGCAGAAGGCAGAAAACACTTTCAAACAAAGGCTAGTGTCTTGAAGCAGAGTCTGCACTGAAGAAGAGCTAGAGAGTAAAAACCATCCTGACATGTCTAGGCCATGCAGCAGCCATGAAAGGCAGTATGTAACTTGATGTATTTTACTAAAGGGAAATATGTAAGCAATTTAAATAGGAAAGGCATTGTCTTTGCTAAGAAAATTAAACGGGTTAACAAATGAAGAGTGCCCGTGCAAGGAAACAGGACTCTGATTTGAACTGAAAACAGCATTCAAGCCTTTTTTAGACTTTTTAATTATGCGTGTCTATGTCTGTGTCTTTGTACATATGAGTGACTTTTCCTCTAACCAGCAGGAGTGGGGAAAAAAACTTCCTCACTCCCTGGAGAATGCGAACCTCAGTGAGGAAAAATAAAGGCTTACTTAGTAAAACCCAAAAATATAAACATTGACATTTGTTCTGCTCTAACTATTCCTGCTTTGCAGTGAGATAGCAATTCTACCGAAAGGATTTTGAGTGGTCTTTAGGGTCTTTAGTCACATTGTGTGTGTGTGTGTGTGTGTGTGTGTGTGTGTGTGTGTGTGTGTGTGTATGTGCGCGCGCACGCGCGCAAGCATACATGCATATGTGCCATGGTATTGACCCAGGTAAGAGAGCAATTTCCGGGAGTCAGTTCTCTCCTCTCCAGGTGATCAAATCCAGGTCTTCAGATTTAACAGCAGGTGTGTCTACTCATGGTGCCACCTCACAGGTTAGGAAAATATCATTCTGCACATGAGAGTCCATATAAGTGTTTCAAACATCATCATTTTACACATTTGCTCACAAATTGACTTTGAAATGTGCTTTTTAAAACTCTCATAAATTCAAGGTTATATGGACTTTCTCCTTAACTCAGTTGGGATTTGCTTACTAATCATAATACCTGGAGATAACACTAACCAATCATCTTCCCTTTTAACCTTAGTTCATGTACTAGAAAACTGTCTCCTTCTTTCCCACCTTTCTCTGAGGCTCCTTACACTGTAGTCCCTTGAACTCTTGATTCGGAGTAGCCGGTATATGGCCCGTCGAATAACCTTGGTCTTCAAGCTGTAAATGATTGGATTTAGCACAGGAGGCAAGAGTAGATACATATTGGCCAAAACACTACAGATCACTCTGGGGGTAGAACTGAAGAGACGGTGTGCCAAAGACAGTGTGATCATTGGCACATAGAAAATGGTCACAGCACAGATGTGGCAGACACATGTGCTGAGAGCTTTCTGTTGCTTTTTGGGGGCCACAATGCTCAGAACAGTACGAAGGATCAAGATGTAGGAGAAAAGAATGAACAATAAATCAGTACCATTCAGGTAGAGCTGAAGAAACATTCCCCAAAAACTGCTGATCCAGGGGTTGGTGTATGTGAATTTGATCACATCTGGATGGAAACAAAATGGGTGGGAAAGCTCTTGGCCTCCCTGGAAGGACACACTGTTCACAACTATAATTGAGGGAAACATGAAAAACACTTGTCTTATACAGATGATCAGTCCAATCACCAAGCTCATCGTGTCTGTGAGGAAAGTAGCATACTTCAGAGGGCTACAGATGGCTAGGTAACGGTCAAAGGCCATAGCCACCAACACTGACGACTCCAGGAATGAGAAGCTATGCACAAAGAACATTTGAATGAGGCAAGTTTTAATGCTGATCTTCCGGGCATGAAACCAAAGAACGCCAAGGACAGTGGGAAGCGTTGTAATGGTCAGACCCAGGTCAACAACAGAGAGCATGGAGAGAAAATAGTACATGGGCTTGTGGAGACTCCGTTCAATGATGATAGCAAACAAGATAATACTGTTTCCCAAGAGTGCAATGGTGTAGAGACCACAAACAGGAATGGAGATCCAGACATGAGCAAGTTCCAGTCCAGGAAAGGCAGTAAGAAGAAAACTGGAAGAGGAGGAGGTAGTGTTATTGAAGATGAGCATGGTGAGTTGAAATATACTCTGAAAAGAAAAAGCAATACTGTTGTGTGTCATCAGATCTTTTCTGCAATCCCCCAAGCACTTATAGATTTTCTCAAATTACACAACTATATTCTGCGTTTAGAACTCCCAAATCTCCATAATATGAATTAAAACCTCTTACCCAATTTCTACAGCACCTTGAACCATTCTTGTTAGAGTCTGGCCTCATTTTCTTGCCTCTGCTCCCTCTAGATATAACTGTATCTCGAATTTTAGACTCCAAATATCTTCAAAAGCTCGTGTGTTGAATTCTTGGTCCCAAGGACACACTGTTTATAGTTGAGGTTTTGAAAATTGATTGAATCATAAAATCTCTGAAATCATGAGTGTATTAATCCATTTAGATTAATAAGATATACAGAAGCTTAGGAAGATTTAGGTAATAAGATCTTCTTGAAGGAAGTTAGTCACGGAGAATACGCCATGGAGCTTGATCCCTGCCTCTTCCTCCCTTTCTCTGTCCCATAGTTGCCATCAAATGAGCCATTTTTCTTCATCTTGGGCTTTTAACATGGTGTACTGCCTTGCCACAGATATAAGCAACCAAGTCAAGTATCATAGATGGTGTCATAAGACTAAATAAGTCTTTCCCCTATATAAATTATTTATCCTAGGTTCATTCTCATCTTATTTTCAAGATGAGATAAAATCTTATAGGTATCTATCACATAAATGTAGACTATAAAATAGCAATAGCCATAATTGTAACCTGATAGGACTTTGTGTTGAGTCGATAAGCTAGCACTCAAATACAAGTGAAGCACCTCAGTGTCACACTGCTATGATGCACACAGTGTGATGCCCCTGATAGTGTATGTTTTGAGATGTTGCCGTGCAGTTGAATCATTGGTTGCCCTTTCCTCTACTTTCCTAGTCTATTGTTAGTATCATCAATTCTTTGTTTCATTTCCTACAACAGAAAGAATTCCAGTAAGTCTTCCTTTGCCCAGCTCTTGTATTTGTAAACTGTCCTCTCTGCTCTCTCCTTCTGTTTCTCTGTGTGACTTTCCAGCCCCACTAAACCACCCAGCTTCTGTTCTCTCCTCCTTAGTACACCTTTGCACTGTTGTTTCTATGTCTTTCCTTTGAGATCCAGCGTGTGACTTTAAACTCACTTACTGTAAATATACTGTTTTAAAGAGCCCTGTCAAGACTTGGACATTATTCTAGAAGCATTCTCATTTTCTCTACATGGACAACTAACCAGAAAAAAAGATTAGTGCTTTCTAATAGCATGCACAAGTCTCTATCTGACCAACCATACTAGAGATAACATTGGCCCATACAAGGGACAGGAGACAATGACTTGGTTATGATCCACACTATTCTATTCTTTAGTAATCCAAAGGCTTAAATCACTGCCTCCAGCACCAACAGTGACCAGACCCCAACCTCCATGGTTCTCAGACACTACATAAAATTTCATTTGTCAATACTCTATATTTATTTCGCAATCCACAACATCAGAGCATGCTAAATTGAAAATTCTCCTTTGCTACTAAAAACTGTACCACAATGCTTGGGCATTGGATTAAATTTTAATTATAAGGCAGAAATGAAACTGAAAATTGGTATACGCAAGTGCCATTCTTTCAATCTGGAGTGTGAGTTTCTTGATACTTATGGCAGGTGTGTCTTACATCTTTTGGTTCTAGCTAGTGATACACAATATGGAACAACAGAAAGCTTTGATTAACAATACCAATTGCAGAATAATTATGCTTATAGCTCATTTTCTCTTTCCTTATTGTCTCCCTGTACTCTGTCTCTTTGTCTCGATTTCTATGAGTATTTAACAATATCCCTCTGTTTCTTCAACCACATTTTCCATCTTCCAAGATTTCCTTGAGTTTTCTTTGATCTCCCTCCTCCTATCTCTAACTCTTTCATTTTTTCCCTTCAATCCTTCCCCATATGCACACTCCACTTACCTGGTCACATCTCTTGAGTCTCTTCACATAGCAGAGATAAACCAGTTGCCAAGGAGGAGACTATATAGGGAGTCTCATAGAGTCACCAGACAGCAGTAATTGTGATTACTGAAGTACACTAGATGAAAACAAGAGTGATGAGATCAATATGAAATGTTCCCCCCAAAGCACTCGGGCATAACTTAACACACAGCTTTCAGGCTCAAGCAAACCCCATCTGTCAAAGCTGAGAGCAAAGGCCTAGCCCTGGAGGCTGACTGTAATAAGTGTCTACAGAAACAGCCTGCCTGTGTCAGATAACTGAATCTATTTCTCTTCACCCAGCTCTGGGCTACAGATTATCAGCCAAAGAAGCACCCTAAATGTCAGAGATTAATTAGGACATGGTTGAAAAAGCAATTCCTCTCTTCTATGATGCTAATACACCTTTTATCTAACAAGTTCTAATGCCTCACCAACAATTCCCCAGTCCTTCCTCTAATACTGGAACGCTTCCTGAGAATCCATAATACTCCACTCATGCCCGCTTTCTACTAAGCTTATAAGTATAAGCAACTTAATATTTGATGAGTACAGAAACTATACTATACTTTTATATACATCGTTATATGCATTTGTCATCAACCTAGTGGGTTAAGAGGTATTCTTCATTTTGTCACATCTGAGGGAATTAAAGACCACAGAGGGTTTGAGTAACTTTTATGTAAAAGCTAGCACATTACAGAGCAGGAATTTAAGTGCATAGCTTATTGCAAGGTTCTGGCGCTTACTCAATCAGCTTTGACACCCTCTTCCGTAAACTGTTTTATCCACATCAAGTAAGGTTTCAATGCTTCATTCTCAGTTGACTCATTCTTTAGATCTCCTGATTCCAGTTGCAAGAACACATTCAATTTAAGTCTTATTTTGACTAAGATTCAACTTTCTGTAGCTGGCAATAAATTAATAATCTTTACAATAACTAATTTTCCCTGGATTTTGCTCCTTTTAAACATTTTCATAGTTTCTTGCATGATGAATGCACAATAAAAAGTTGTATCACAGTAAGTACCTAGAGATGAGTAATTTCACATATTACACATTAGGAAAAGTCCCAATTTGTGGGCAAAAACATGATTCCCCACAAATGCTGAGATTTCAAAGACTTAAAATGTTGATTCCAGAAAAGAAAGGAAATATATAAAAATATATGTTTCATCTGTCTTAATAAAGTAGCAGCTTTTTATATGCAAGCTGCAATTAGATTGATGAAGAAATCAGGGAAACAGCACTTTTCACAATAGCCTCAAATAATATGAACTGTCTTGTTTATATTATACTCTAACCAAACAAATGAAAGACTTGTATGAAAAAATTCCAGCCTTTGAAGAAAGAAAATTAAAAAGAATATCAGAAGATGGCAAGATCTCCCATGCTCATGGATCAGTAGGACTACCCTAACAAAAGTATCATATCAGCACTTAGGAGGCAGAGGCAGGAGGATCTCTGTGAGTTCAAGGCCAGCCTGGTTTACAGAGTGAGTTCCAGGACAGGCTCCAAAGCTACACAGAGAAACCCTGCCTCAAAAAAACAACAAAAACAAAACCCCACAAAAATATCCTTTCTACCTAAAACCATCTACAAATTCAATACAATTACATCAAAATTCTAACAGAATTTATTCAGAGATCTTGAAAGGATAATTCTCAGCTTCATACAGAAATTCAGAAAACACAGGACAGCAAAAACAATCCTGAATAACAAAAGACCTGAGGAAGATATCGTCATCCCCAAACTGAGACTGCACTGAGAAACTATAGTAATAGAAAGGGTATGGCAGCGGCATAAGAACAAACACATCAAAGTGTAGAAATGCAGCTTCTAGCTCAATGCATGCGCTGTCCTTTGCTCGTGCAATTTTTTTTAAACATTTTGTCTCTTGTTTATACCTCCTTCCACACCACAAGCTTTATAGTATCCATGAAAACAGATAAATGAAGACACGAGAAAACAAAGAGCCACATTCACCACTGAATGCAGTGTGGTTATAATGGACTGATGCCAGCTCAAATGTGGACTGCATGGAAAAGGCAGCGAGGATGGAAACTACTCTGTTAATATTCCACACCACAGTGGAATGGTTTTAATTTAAAACAATATTTTATCTGCTTTGTGAAAATCTGGAAGAGAGACAACTTACAGCCTCCATACCAATTGTAAAAGGTTGTTGCTTCCAGCCCTTACCTAGGGCGTGTGTTGAAGTAACCCATTAAATCCCATTAGTGTGCCAATGAAGACATATTAATCAGATTCTGAAAACTGTTATAAAGAAACGGTAACTAAATTGGAGTTGTTAATCTATTATTTTGACTTTCTTCAGAATCGTGTATGGAGCCTCCTGGGAACGTCTAATTGCCGTACCTAGTTTACCGTACCAAGGGCACCTGGCGGCAGTGTTCCCTGTGTTCTTAATTCCTATAGACAAGCAGGAGCCATGTGCACATATACTTGACTAGACAGTGATCGAGCAGAGGTCAGAGCCAGGTAAGATGCGAGGACCAGATAGACCAAGCACATTGGGTAAGACTGTTGAAAAGTGAGACAGAAGGAAGAGAAAGAGTAGGGGAGGCAGGCCGCCTCCATAGTAAAGGAATGCAAATCAAAGAGCAGAGATGTTTAGATGATGTGTTTGGAGGAAGAAACACAAATTAATGATCGTGGGAGCTAAATGAGAAATTTGCAACTCATTTGCAAGCAATCTTTTTTCCCCAGGAGAAAACATCAAAAACTAGATATGGACTAGATATGGGGTAGAGTTCCTGTGTGGGCCACACGGAGACACTGTATACTTTATTTCCTCACACTGTCTTTAAATTTGGCTGATATAAATACTCCCTTTTTATTTTAAAATGATATTTTTATTTATTCTTTGAAGATTTCGTATACACTCTATCTTCGTCATTTACATCCCAAACCCCTAAAACCTTCTTTGCCTTCATATCTTCCTTTTTTCTTTTTTTATTATTTTTATTGAGCTCTGCATTTTTCTCTTCTCCCCTCCCTACTTCTCCCTTACAATTATTTCATGTACTCACCCATAAGTGGTTTTTAAACATAAAACAAAGAAAACCAGCCCACAAACCACAATCCCAGAGAACCTACACAACAACGAGGACCCTAAGAGAGACATACACAGATCTAATCTACATGGGAAGCAGAAAAAAAATAAATAAATAAAAACCAAGATCTCCTGAGTAAATTGGGAGCATGGGGACCTTGGAAGAGGGTTTATATAAATACTTCTATGAGTATTTTTAAAGGGAATTTTTAAATTTTTTTTAATTTGACCCCAGTTCTACCTTTTTATAGAGACCCCATGTTCTGCACTCTCTTCCCACTCATATAATGACTGTGAATACTTTGCAGCATATAAAATCAGTCCTGCTATTATAAACCATCACAGAAGCAACTAAAATGGGCAAAAGAGAGATGTTTTTAAATCGCGGGGTTAACAGGTGGTGAGCTCATAGGCGGAATGAGCATCCAGTTTCCTGCAGCTCTGGCTGCATCACACTAGGCTCTGTTTTCTTCAGTCGTGTTTTCTCCTTGGCTAAAACTTCCAGGCGCAGAGATCTACATCCAGTGCTGTTTCTTCCTGTCTCTAATGCCTTCAATATCAAGCAAATCAAAAACAATTATCGAGAGAAAAAGAGACCCAATGTAGATTAAGCAGTTGCATCGGCACCTTTTCTAAATGGTTGGATTTAATTTGACATATTGGGGAGGGATTTAGGTTCCATGTTTGTTTGTTTGTTTGTTTGTTCGTATTTTGTCAATTATATTTTATTTATTTATTTATTAAAGATTTCTGTCTCTTCCCCACCACCGCCTCCCCTTTCCCTCCCCCTCCCCCAATCAAGTCCCCCTCCCTCGTCAGCCCAAAGAGCAATCAGGGTTCCCTGCCCTGTGGGAAGTCCACGGACCACCCACCTCCATCCAGGTCTAGTAAGGTGAGCAGCCAAACTGCCTAGGCTCCCACAAAATCAATAGGTGCAGTAAAAATTTCCACCTCCGGGGCTGGAGAGATGGCTCAGTGGTTAAGAGCACTGACTGTTCTTCCAGAGGTCCTGAGTTCAATTCCCAGCAACCACGTGATGGCTCACAACCATCTGTAATAAGATTTGGTGCCCTCTTCTGGCCTGCAGGCATACATGCAGAATACTAAGAATACTATATACATAATAAATAAATAAATCTTTAAAAAAATGCTTTAAAAAAATTTCCACCTCCTCCCCTCCTCCCATTTTTCTCCCCCTCCCCCATGTGATGCATGTTGATGTGATTCACAAGTACTAACTGTGTATTTTAAATATTTAAGTAATTAGAATACTAGTTATATATATATTTATTATATATATAATCAAAGAACATGAGTGCTCTATATATCTAGTTCATGAATGTATTTCAATGCAAACAAAGTCAAAGCTCTGAAATTCTGAAGCTCATTCCATTATATCATAGTCTGATTATGCTGTCCTTGGGATTTTTTGATTTCTTAACCCTGATTTTATTTTTCTGAAAACTTTTACTGTAGCATTTAGAATTTTATAGATGTTTTATACAGCAGTTTTAAGTTAATCCTAAGAACACCATAAATATGTTCCATTTACTTCTGTAGTATTATTAAAATGTGTATTTGCCTCCAATATAGCAACCCAAATGTAAAGATTTATGAAGTAGTGACATTTTATGTTTTTAAAAATTGTCAGTTACCTGGGGCATAGGTCAGTAGTAAAACATGTTTTTCAGATGCATAATGCTTGCATTCAGTGGCCAGCTAGAGGAAACAAGGCAGGCAGACCAGCAGGAAAGAAGGAAGGAAAGAAAGAAGGAAGGAAGGAAGGAAGGAAGGAAGGAAGGAAGGAAGGAAGGAAGGAGAAAGAAGAAGATAGAGGAGAAGAAAGTAAAAATAATTCAATTAATACATATTAACTTGGGATATAATAGATTCTTTTCTCAGCTGATAAGCTACTAACAATATTTTTTACTATATTTTAGAAATCCTCATGTCTTGAGATATACATTTTTATACATTTCCAATGGGATACTCTGTTGATTGATATAACTTTATACTGCAAAGAGAAACAGAAAATTAGAGGGTTTTTTTGTTATTATCAATATTATGCAGAATATATCTGCACAATTGTGTCATGTTTCTTCCTTAAAGCTATTACAATAGCCACATCACTCATAAATTTCTTAATATTGATGGCTTTACTCAAAAGACAAAATTTGCAATTAAATGAAATAGTCTTTATTTTGCATTGTATAGGTCTTTATGACTAAATTTGTTATGAGTAGAATGGTTTAAACTTGGGTACTTTCCTTTTTTATTATTATTTTTTATTGAGCTTTACATTTTTCTCTGCTCCCCTCCCTACCTCTCCCCTCTCTCCCCTTCAACCCTCTCCCAAGGTTCCCATGCTCCCAATTTACTCAGGAGATCTTGTCTTTTTCTACTTCCCATGTAGATTAGATCTATGTATGTCTCTCTTAGGGTCCTCATTGTTGTCTAAGTTCTCTCAAATTGTGATTTGTGGGCTGGCTTTCTTTGCTTTATGTTTAAAAACCACTTTTGAGTGAGTAAATGTGATAATTGTCTTTCTGGGTGACCTCACTCAAAATGGTGTTCTCTAGCTCCATTTGCCTGAAAAATGCAAGATGTTGTTATTTTTTTCTGCTGTGTAGTACTCCATTGTGTAAATTACCACATTTTCCTTATCCATTCTTCAGTTGAAGGGCATTTAGGATGTTTCCAGTATCTGGCTATGACAAAAAATATGGTGCTATGAACATAGTTGAACCCATGTCTTTGTAGCACAATTGAACATCCTTTGGATATATACTCTAAGTGGTATTATTGGGTCTTGAGAAAGGTTGTTTCCTAATTTTCTGAGAAATCGAAATGTTGGCACTTTTCAATTTCACCCATGTAAGATTATCACCCAATGC